AAAAAAAAAAAAAAAATTAAAAATCCAAGCTTCTGATACCCCTCTTCCTTCCCCACACATACTCATATCCTTTCCCGTAATCTTGCGAATTAAGAAGTGATGTCCGTCACGCACTGTTACACCAAGCAAGTGAAATACCACAAGGGGAATTTCCAGTGTTAATGGTGTTTATATAGCTTCCATTGCGCGCCCGAAAAAAAAACCCAAAACAAAATCGAACTTTTCCCCGCCTCCACCCGGAATACCCTTTTCACTACGGTGGAAAGGGCGACAGAACTTTAAACTTTTGACTTCTCAGTCTGTCTTGTGCATAAATATAGAAATTCATCCGTGTTACTTCATATCGTCCTGAAGCACATTGAATGTAAGTAGGTGTGTTGGTATGGGGTCTAATCGATAAGTATTTTGCAGTACTGATTTTCTTTTCTGTGTTTATTTTGTTCTGTCAATTAAAACCAGGTATTTTACTGATCATATGACGCAAAGATCCAGAACCAAACATTCACTTGTCGTGAAAGATAGATCAACCAACAAAAGAGAAGCTCTGAAACTGAAATAAATTCCTAAAAGACGGAGCGGAGATATTATTATGTCCAACCAGCAGCAGACTTATTAAGGCAGTGTCGCTACAATCTTGAACCATCAAACTTAAACACAAAACAAGAATTTGTAAATTGTAAAGTATATACATATTTCGCCTGCATCTTTTAAGTTTAAGATATAGAACACAGAGTCTAAAAAGTAGTATCAATAAGGAAGTTATGCTCCTTTTTTTGCCCCAAACAGCACGTCTTCAAGTATTGTTGAATGACCAGAATACGAGTCTTCAATAGATTAAATGTTGGGTGCTCCAAAAAAAAGACTATACAACCTTTTTTCTAAATATCTCGCACAAAATTTGTACTAGAATGGTGTAATTTGGAATGTGTATAATTCATTCAAAGGGAATTTGTTTGACATAAAATTCACAAAGAATAAACTCATTTTCAAAAACGGAATTGGCTTTTATAAAAACCACCTGAATATGCAAAAAGCACCTATTTAAAAGATCTTGTAAGGAAAGTCATGAAATGGCTGGGGGCCAGCTGATTAAAACCTGTCAATTATTTGCCATATCGACAGACCGAAGGGCTAGAACCCAAATGGCCGCTGAATCGGAAAAGTAAAGTAAAGTAAAAGTAAATGCAGTGTCAACCCTG